AATTAAGCATAACAAACTTAAAAAGTAAAAACAAAAATAAAATGCTTGTCAACAGAAGTCTCTTACTGCTCCTGATCACGAAGACTCATGTATTCTTTCTCAAGTTCTTCTATCTCAGCATCCTTATTATCATCTTGCCCATCACCATTTTCCTCTTCCCCCTCCCCCTCTTCTTCTTCTTCATCTTCTGATTCTTCTTCATCCTCATCCTCTTCATCTTCTGATTCTTCTTTCTCCTCCTGATCATCATCAAAGTCATCCTCTTCCTGCTCCATCTACATAACAATCATCAATTAACAACACAACCACCCAAAATGATTACCAAAACCCAATAACAGAATATAGATACAAACTAACCATTAGCTCGTCATTGTTTACATCGTAATCATCCTCAAACTCACTGTCACTGTCACTGTCACGAGCCTTTCTCTTCTGCTTTGAAGGTACCCCCATTTTTCTGACTTCTGAGCCCCTACGAGTTCCAAAACCTAAATATTTAAGCAACCAATTCCTATAAATTTTGGGTATTCATATAATTACTTCCACAAAAGTTTTAGCTTTAATGGGACATACAATCTCATTGCAAATACGCAACCAATTCAGAAATCCTAAATTCTAAAGTTAACGAATTTTCCTTGTCTCAGCTAAGAAACCAAACAAATGCAACAGAGAGGGAGAAAGAAACCCTAACCTTTCGAAGGTGAAAGAATAAGAAAGACGGCGAAGAAATACGGCGACAGTTGAGAGAGAGGCAGAGAAGTCTGAGACGCCGTGGGTTTTGGGGGTTTAAGCTTTCATAGAGGCTAGTATTTAGTTTGGGCTTTAAGTGGAGGTTTGGGCCCATTTATAATGGATGTAGGTCCAGATTCAGCATTCTCTCTTTTTTAAATTATTTCATTTTAAAAACTTGATTTTAGTATTTTAAAAACTGATTTTTATAATTTATTATTCTAAAATGGACTTTTATGGTTTTTATAAATTCAGAGAAAACAAATTAAGATAAATATCGAGTAACTGTACGTTGGTTTTTTTTTTTTTAATACAAATGATAATCTAATCTAAAAAAAGAGAGGGTTTCTCACACTGATCCGGATTCTCTGCTCAGATTTTCTCTTACTTTAGTTCTTCGAATGTCACCTCATTAAAATTGAAGTTAAGGACTATAAATTGGACACATCTAACTGTAAAATAAAAACCCAATTTACTCTTAATTAAAAATGATTAAGAAACCCTAACTTAACGTCTCTGGAAGTTTTTTTTTTTTTTTTTTTTTTTT